CTTCCCGTACCAGGTAATCGACCTGGGTGGAGAGCCGATCAAGGGCAGCGACTACTTTGGAAACGGCCGAGTGACAGAATTCAAATACGGTGCGAAACTGGGGACAGTGATCCGCAAGTGGAATGGAGAAAGGATGGCCTACCTCAAGTAAGGATGACGATGCTGCGACCCATCCAGGATACGCTGGGTCCACCCCTGAAGGGCAGCTCCAAGTCTCTGTGTTTCTGGGTAGGAACTGGGGAGAAGGCTGGGGCTTTGTGCCTTCCGACAGAGCGCTGGTCTTTGTGGATAATCACGACAACCAGCGGGGACACGGGGCCGGTGGAGCTTCCATCCTGACCTTCTGGGACCCCAGGTAAGGGATTGCTTTGGTCTGGATGTTACTGCTTCCTTTTGCGTGTCTGTCCATCTGCTCTCCGGCACGGTCTCCCTTTCCTCGGCTCATTACTGGTTTTGTCTAACGAGCAGGCTGTATAAAATGGCAGTTGGTTTCATGCTGGCTCATCCGTACGGGTTCCCACGCGTGATGTCGAGTTTTCGCTGGCCAAGATATTTTGTCGATGGACGGGTAAGCTTATGGTGCTGAAACAGTCTCGGCAAACAGGGATCAGAACAGGGCAGAGAAGCCATCCAGCGCATTTAAATTTGTTGGGGGATTTCTCCGTCCCATGTTGGCTGCAGCAGGAGGAAATGTGATGCTCCGCCTGGCTCTTCTCTGCAGGTGGGCTCTATGCATTTTCAGTAAGAAGCGTTACCCTTCCCTTTCTAATTCCAGGACGTCAATGACTGGGTTGGACCACCAAGTAACTCGGATGGCTCCACAAAGCCTGTTACAATCAATGCAGACACTACCTGTGGCAACGACTGGGTCTGTGAGCATCGCTGGCGTCAAATAAAGTAGGGCGCTGTGGAGAAAAAATAAGTAAAAGCAGTGGCTTTTGCTTCATGTTCCTGGTGGCTTTCGAGCTCCTGCAGCCACAGTGGCAGTTGTTCCTTGCATTTCAGGAACATGGTTATGTTCCGAAACGTGGTGGATGGTCAGCCTTTCTCCAACTGGTGGGACAACGGCAGCAATCAAGTAGCTTTTGGCCGCGGTGATAAAGGCTTCATCGTCTTCAATAACGATGACTGGTAAGGCA